TTGCGTAGGGAAGACCTAACTGGTCTTCAATCATCAGAGTGTTGGCATAGTTGAGACTGGATGTGATGAATGTATGAATGAAACAGGTTGTGGCAGAGATAGGCAATATTTCATAGCCTGATCTCCAAGGTAACATGTTTGGCAACAGAATGTCAGAATTTAGTTAATCCTCTGTGGTGGTCTCAGAACTCTGGCCGCTGAACCAAACAGGTCTACAGTATTCCAGGATGATGACAGGACAGCCAGTCTGGCCCATCGGTAGGACATTGAGGGAAGGACTGGGAGTGTGAATTTTTCCACTCAGCTCCTGTTAACTTTGCTAGCCAAAACACTTATGGGTAAGGTAGCCCAAGTAGCTGCACAAGCAGTAGGAGGCTTGCCAAACAGTGCTTTCAGTGGCAAGCTATGTAGCTTTGGTTGGTTAAAGCCCACCATTACCCTAACATACAGTCTGGGATCTCCAAACTTTGGCTTTTGCTAACCTGTACCTATTCTCCGTAATTAGGTAACCAACGTACATCTCTCCAGGAAAAAAAACAGTACACATTGCATGCCAGACACAGGGAAATTCCATGTGTAGTTGGCATTCATGTGTGGAACACTGTCTGTTTTGGATTTTCTTAAACACGGTGATTAGTACAGCGGATGCAGAACTGAGTCTAATTGGGTGAGGAATACAGTGCTAAATCTGATGATGCCAGGAGGAGAGGCAGATGGCATATTGAGTCTGGTCTGGTCAGGCTGGGAGTCTATTATAAAGCCTCCAATTATCTCCTATTCACATGGTATGATAGAGGATCATGGTACCTAATGACCAGAGTAACACGCATTAACAGTGAATCAGTAAATAAATCATATCAGTTATATGGTTGATGGGAAACGAAGAGTCAAACTATTTTAGGGAAGAAGGCAAATAGAAATATTGAGTACTCAATTGAATGCTTATAGAAGAGAACTAAACACGATTCTGTGGCAGCCGGGATCTGCGGCTTTACCTTTCAAGTATTTTTCATTTTTACTGTTAGACTTTAATCCCCCACAGCTTGGGAGTGCTATTTCGCACTGATGGATGTGGTGTTCTATTTAACTTTGACATTGTGCTGACTTCATTTGCAAACACGTTTGAAAAGTAACTACTTTCTACTTTAGGAAAGTGCTGCAACCATGTAGAATGTCATGCTCTCATTGGCAAGCTAAGTGGATTTAGCTGGTTAGTCTCCAGCAATACCCCAACCCACACTCAGGGGTCCCCAAGCCTTGACTATTGCCAGCCAGCGCCTAATACTTTCCAGAGTTAGGTAAGTAGGATGTATCCCTCCAGAGAGAGCGTCTGCATTCTATTCCAACCATCTATCTCTGGAATTTCCATGTGTAGATGGGATGCGTGGAATTTGCAGTTTGGTTTGAATACTCTTAAGCATGTGTCAGATATCTGGTTGACCAAAAAAAAGGTAATTGATGTTCTGTGAGTCAACAGTTTACTGTAATTGAATAATGAGGGATTATATTGGGAAAAATCTCATTAATCAAGCACAACATTACAGTGTACTAAACTGATTAGTACACAAGACATCACATCCTATTGATCTTTGGTTCTTAACTAGGGAGCATCTAGGTCAGCTCTGCTATTTATGGCATGAAACCAGATTGCATATTGGAATATTTACAGTCCAGAAACCAAAAATAAGATAAGAGATTGAACGACACAGCATTTTTCTACTGTCCTGCGCCTCAGATCAACGTTACTACTCGCTGTACTTCATATCTATTCTGAACGAGGAACACCAAATAGATCCTGTACATTACTTACTCATGAGCATTATGTAAATATGGGTCTTTTACATCGCATGGCATTGAATATTGCTCAAAAAAAGCTGTAGGGAGGCAGGCACTGTTTTAGACACACACCTCCCTCCCTGCCCGATGGACCACGTAATCTAAAGTGCAAAGGGGTTTAAGGACAGGGTCCATAGACTTTGACGAACATGCCTCTAATAGCTGCTTTTGGACAGAGAGAATGCCAGACTTGGTTTTAATTGAAGGCGCTCAGGGACACTACCCGCCAGAAGACCGCTATATAAATGCAAGTTGTTGTTGTTGACCATTTTCATGAAAAGACAATGGTCAAATCCTGCTATGTTTCTTCAAACATATAATGCGAAGGAAGGTGTATTCCCCACCCCGCCCCACACACACACACTCATATTAATGTACATGTCGACACCAAAACTAGGCTTAGCCGGTCAGATCATTTTGAGTGAATTGTGGAAAATTCAGTCTCAACTTTCAAAGTTTTATTTTTGTTTCTACAGTTTGTCTTAAAAAATTGCAGAAGTCCAATTTGAAAATGATTACTGGATTTAAGAATTTTCTACACAACAGCACTATCCTAATGGAATCTAATCACATCGTAATTTATTGTGGTATCACAAGAACAAAGCCATTTCATGCCTGAAGCGTTCTTCACAATAAAGGCTTCTATTATATTAGATTGCTGTGCAGTGGGTCATTTTCAGACATCATAAAAGTGGAGACAATGGACATTTAAAATGTACTGTTAAGTTTATTGATATTACCTTTGTAACACAACACTCTTAGATGTCTGCTTCTGAACAAAAGGTTGAATCCCAGCACTGCAGTGCTCTAAAGATTATAAATCAACGTCAAGACCACGTCTGGTCACAGATAGAGCTGCATTGAGATACAATTCCAAGTGTAATAAAGTGATTTGACATCAAGTGTTCCATTGATTTGTATGTGAACTTACTATGTGGGTATGTAGACCATGTACTAGTTGTGGGTGAGCGTTCCCCATTCCCCCTCCACCCCCAACACACAGACTCCATTCTCAAAAGTGATGTCCATGAAGCTTGAAGCTAGACGTGAAGTCTATCATTGGACTCCCAGCTCACAGATCATGACGTTGAGTAGATACATACTCTGTTTTGTTTAGTAAAAAACTGGTATCCCACTCACTTACAGTGAAAAGCCACAATCCGAAAGTTCACTGGCACAATCCAAACTGGATACGGACACAAGCAGATGCTGATTGTTGATACCATATTCCCCCTTCATATGCCATCATTATTATTACTACTTTAAGTTTAACCACATCACTTTTGATGATTGGGTTTGTGAAATGCCAGCAGAGTTTACTGATAAAAAGGGCTGTTATGGGCTGAATCAGGTGACCCTTAAAGACATTAAATGTACAGATAAGAACGTCAACCTCCATGTTGCACATGTGAGCTTCCTTATTAGGAACTAACCAGCACATTTACTGAATGGAGCAAAGCTAGAATTCCAGAGACATTTAACATCCTTCTTGCACACAGTGCTTCTCCAAATCTGAAGAACTTTTGCACATCCTATAGTTTATACCTTTAGGGATATAATGCAAAGTGCCTGCGAATGTTGCTTGTACTTAAATGAACCATGCCAAGTATTACTGAAGTGAAACAACAACAACAAAATTACATTTATGGAGCGCCTTTCACGTCAGGAGGACGTCTCAAAGACTGAAAGGAAAGGAAAAGTGTGTTTATTATTTGATGAGAAAGTAGAGAGTTATTGTAGAGATTTCAAGGGCCTCCTTATGATCCAGGTAATCTTAAACAAAGGAATTATCTGTGGTAAATTTTCAATTCAGTTTTAGGGGGAGAAAACAGCAGATATTACGTTCTTCTCAGGGAACAAGAAATTAAAAAATACCAGTCTGTGTGTTCCTGTAGGAGGAGGAGCTGGAATGAGTTAAGAGCTTGTAAAGGATTGTAATTTGCATGCTAGATGTGTTCTACATGCCAGGCTCCATAATTCAGAACAGATTGATTTGAAGATCCCCACTCTTGGTTTCAAATCACTTGATACTCTGGTACCTCCCTACCTCTCCAATCTTCTCACACCCCACTCCACTACCTGCCACCTTTACTCAGATGGATTGAGTCTCCAGCACATCTCTCGTCCACTCCGCTCCACCATTAATAATAGTAATAATAATAATCCTTACATTGGATATAGCGCTTCTCACGTCTTCTAGACGCCCCAAAGAGTTTCACTGAATATACTGTAAAGTGAATTGACTGTATATTTGTGGGCGAACGCGGCAGCCAATTGCGCACAGCAATGTCCCACAAACAGTCATGGATTGAAAATGACCAATTTATTATTGTTTTGTTTTTTTGGAGGGATTATTATTAGGTGTGTGGAGTAAGGAAACTTGCCCAAGGTTTCGCCCTCTGCCTGGAATTGAACTCAGATCTCTCACTTGCAAAGTGAGTGCTCTAACCACTGAGCTACAGGACTCCATTGACTGCCATGCTCTCAGTTACTATGCCCCTGAATCTCTGAAACTCTCCATTGCTTCAATTCTTTCCCCTTGCCCGCTCTCTGCCCGTCTTCAAATCACACTTGAAGACTTTCCCCTTCGACCGTGCCTTTGGTCAACTTGCCTCTCTTTCTAACTCAGCATCAAAGCACACCGTTGTTAAGCTCTGAGATGCTACCCGAGTGAAGGGTGCTATATAAATGCAAGATGTTGTTGTGTTATTAGCAGCTCAACTGAAAACGCCACTTAGCCAATACCTGAAGTCAAGAAAAAGGTCCACTGTGTTGTCCCCAATTCCTCCACCACCAACAATCAATTTGTACAATTTAATGTCCACAAACAGTCATGAAGTGGAAGACCAATTATTTTTCTCTCGCTGGGAATTATCGATCAGGACACCAGGAGTAATTCCATTCAGTTTTTCGAATAGTTATCATGTTAGTTTCCATTATAATCCTTCATCATTCAAGTATCATTTAACAGCCATCTGAACATTCAGATGAGACCTTAGTTTAAAGTCTCATCCAAAGGACGGCAGACGATAGATCAGTTTAGACTACAGGAGTTCCAAGTCCCAAAGTAGGGCTTAAACGCACAACCTTCTGATTCAGGGATGAGAGTACTACCCACTGAGCCAGGCTGACACTAGTACTAAGGAAGCGTGCAGAGCAAATACCTGAGCTAGAGTTGCTGAATCTTTTCAGTACTTCAAACAGTTTCTGGAAGGCTCCCACACTCCCATCTTTCTGGCTGTACAGAAGCATCTTCTTGACATCATAAAAGACTCGGGAGAGGCTGTAAAGGATAAGTAAAGAGCAAGAAACCTTAAGTATAAAGCAGGCATTTTGCAATAGAAGGCCTTGTGTAAGTTAACTTCAAGTACACAATACAACAGAACCCTGGTGGTGGCGGGGGTGGGGGGAGGGCAGTGTTATAATGGAGCACATTTTATAATTGCTAGCCACAGACATGAGGAAAGCCACCATGTTTCAAAACACCAGCTGGCCTTTAGGTCATCGGGTTTCCACCAACATAGGGCCGTAAAAACATGACTGGATCCAACAGTGCTTTAAAATATTGCCTGCCACAAAGGAAAACAAAATGACAGACTTCTGGGTCATCTAGTCACTGCAGAAGTATCAATCGAGCAAGTGGGCGGAATCCTGTAGCTCAGTGGTTAGAGCACTCGCTTTGCAAGTGAGAGACCTGAGTTCAATTCCAGGCACAGGGCGAAACCTTGGGCAAGTTTCCTTACTCCACACGCCTGATAATAATCCCTCCAAAACAAAACAATAATGAATTGGTCATTTTCAATCCACGACTGTTTGTGGGACACTGCTGCGGGCAATTGGCTGCCGTGTTTCGCCCACAAATATACGGTCAATTCACTTTACAGTCTATTCTGTGAAGCACTTTGAGACGTCTAGAAGACGTGAAAAGCGCTATATCAAATGCAAGGATTATTATTCTTATTATTATCTTGGATATTTGGGGATAAGTAAATGTTGGCACATCACAAACATTTTATAAGGGAGTTCTAGTGTAGTAGCAATATAACAATGGGCTGTTCCCGATTTCTATCATGATTAACATGTTACAATGACAGCCTTCCACTCACATTGATTTGTCAAAGTATGATAAAGGCAATTCAGCAATGTACCCAGTTTGAATGAACGTGATTTATCACTGTGCTCATGATAACTGATCTCAGTATCTATAAAATTATGAAATAAGAGGCTTCCAGGTTTGCTGTTGTAAAGATACAAGGATATTTGGAATGAGGCCAGGTATCCAATTCATCTATATCTATATCAGACGGGCAGTGATATAAGTCAACCAGAACTTTGTGCAGACTGGAGTGGTTCCTTTGGATGTGCATTTAGCTCAGGAAAACAAATATGGGTTAAACTTTTAAACATTAAACAAAAAAGCTCCCAGCATCCTTGACACATTTAAATCTAAAAGTCTCTACATTTAGCATTGATCAGCAGAATGACAGCCTTCCACTCACATTGATTTGTCAAAGTTCCCAACCACTCCAGGGGATTCACCAGGTGTCGGATAGCGGAAACACGGGTTGTTTGCATTACAGATAATGCCCTGTATCCATGGCAGAGTCCCAGCAGAAGGCATCGCCTTGTTTGGAAAATGGCCTAGAGAGAGAAACATGTGTGGGGTGGGGGGGGAAAAACAAAAATTAAATGTCAGTGAGTCAGTCACATTCACAATGAATTTATTTTATGAATCCAGGGCCTCCAGTAATATATCCTGCTCTCCCCTCCAAAATTAGTTCAAACGTCACTGGATTCCATTTATTTGTTAATCACACAATGACTCCCAGGACAGACGTGAGAATCAAGTCTGAAATTCTCCTGGCCTGTGTGGCTGTTTCACACCAGAGTACAGCTTCACCAACATCTATCAGGAGATTAACAGGAATCAACCACAGAAATCCATGATTCAGTAAGAGGCCATTCACTCACTATATTAGGATCAGTTTGTTCTTCCAATGACTCAACGTAGGATCAACTTCCGTTATATTAACAGGACTGCCTATTAACCTGTAACCGAGTTTCAAAAGTGAAACAAAATGCCTTCACATAATCCACTAGAATGGGAACTGTCATTGCATTTACATTCTAGGCTTCTCACTGCTGGAGAAGCAATTATACTTTATTGCAGTGATCCTTACGCAAACATGAAAATGGACTATGGCCCTCAACGTAGCTTTTTGCCATAAATGAATGCAGATAACTTGATCATAAACGTGGCTAGATACCAAAATGTTTCTTCACGTTTCATGAACAATAAGATAAAGTTCTAAGATCCTTCTCACAGCAACAGCAAAGACCCAGAATACAGAGTACAAATTTCTTATCAATGTTCACCAATTGTATCTGCTCCACAAATTGTATGTGAGATGCAATACAAAGTAGCACTGAATAATTTTTAGTAGTAAAATTAGGTTGAAGCAACTGAGTTTACGAAGGGGAAAGAAAGATAAGTGGGCGGATGAGGAACTATTGATTTACTGTTCCACAAAGCAGATAAGTTATTATGTACTGGGAAGGGGTGAAAGAAACACTGAGTACAAGCCAATCGCTTACTTTCCCAAAGGGAGAAATCAGAAGTCTGGGCCGTTCTATCACCCACCTATCACCCACCTAAACAAGATGGCTATTGAGTAGCATAAGTAGAGTGACACAAGAAAACTATTGTCTCAGAACAATTAGCTGAGGCATTAAAAAAATTGAGTGGTGGGGAAATGTATTAAAATACTTTTACTGACAGAATAATAAAAATCTGCCTTTTACCCGGTTTCTCAAATATCAATGATATCCCCTCTCTGCTTGAACTTTAATAATAAGGCTCATTGGGGCTTTCTACTCCTTTGGCTCATTCATTTATTCCTTTACAAGTATAAGCCTATCTATATCAGACAGCGAAGAGAAGCAAAATGCCAGTTAGCATCTAACAAGTATTACATTACAATTGGGAAACTTGTACCTTCCTCCGCAATGTTATACAGGAAAAGTTTTGGTTCCAGATTCATACAACAGCATGTACTGTATGACTGCGGCTGCCAATAGCTCACAGTGTTTCACAAAACCAGCAGAACACAGATAAATATCACTGCAGGATTCTCAAAATCCCCAAGTTCATTATGACCAAATTCAACCCTCAGGTAAATAGCTCCTGTGCAATGCTGTTATTGAAGTGTTTAACCTCTCCATTGAATTCTTCTGGTGAATGACAGAACATCTAATATAAAAAGCGAGGTTTTTAAACTGGGTTGTTTTTCAGATATCAAATCCACCCAGTTATCAATATTAACAGATAATGAGACTGTTAAAACAGAGAAAACACTTACATTCATGTTGCTCATAAGGAGGGTAGGATCGTCGTACTGAAATCAGGATGAAGAATAGGAAGAGAGGCCACGCAAGTTCTATCAACAGTTGAAACTGAAAAGTATAAAAGAATAAATAGTTTCATTCTTCCAGTGACAATTTATTGTGATCATAATAATAAGGTTGTCCACTTTCAGGTAGAAATGCTCAAATGCACAAGTTGGTAATTACATTTATTTTCCCCCAAAGAATATGAGGAAACTTCACAAAGGTCAAGAATTGCATTTCAAATTCCATCAGTTTTCTCACTTCAACTTTGCTTAGGATTCATCCTTCCTTCCATGGAGGCTGCAATGTATTTTAGGGAATGGTTCCAAAGTAGGTGGTGATCTTCTGGCACCTGAGTTATAATTTTTAGCATGTAAGCCTTGGTTGCACACGTCAGCAAACCATTGAGCTGCAAGGGAATCCTCCAAGTCCAGTTATATCCTTAAGCACTGCCACACATGAACACTTTCCAGTAAGGGTTACCGGATACTCATCAGGGACAGGTAGAAGTTAATTTCTTCAGGTTTATAATCTTGGAACTTGTATCTTTCTGTTGTTCAGCTAACTCAGTATACATTGTGAATTTTTTATATGGCAGCAAGATTTTTTGCTGGAGTCCCATTTCCCCACATCACTATCCATCTCCCTCTTTAAATCCCTGAACTGATCTATAGCCTTTTCAGGCAATACATTGCATGTTCTCACTACTCTGTGGCTAAAGAAATAGTTTCACTTTTCAGTGTCTTAGCTTCAACTTTAGATTAAAAGATCAGCCATGATTGAATGGTAGGGGCAGGCTCGAAGGGCCGAATGGCCTTCTCCTGCTCCTACATGTTATGTTAAGATTTGGTTCTCTTGTTCTGGATTGATCTCGATTTCCATCATTTTCTACCTACCTTGTTAACTCCCTTTATTATCTTGAACTCCCCAATTACAAAGTTGAAGCGAGAAAATGGATCAAACACGTTACCCTCAGCTTTTGATAGAATACTGAGCAACATCACAATTAAACACTTTTATCCAAGGCAAGCATTACAGGCGGGTGTGGTGTAAAAACAATCCTTCATAAAAAAGATTGAAGTGGTAAGGTACAAGTATGAAAAACTTGCCGGCTAATGTCTTGATATTGCCCTTTGCAATTCTAAACCTATATTCTCTTGTTTTAGTGCATCTTAAAGTATTGTTCTGGGTTTACTTTAATGATGGTTCTCCCAGGACACTGGGTGAATAATAACAATAATCTCTGAATTTGATATAGCGTCTTATCATGTCGTCGAGACGTCTCAAAGCGCTTCACAGAATATACTGTAAAGTGAATATTTTGTGGTCAAATTTTAAAAACTGTTTAAAATTTATTTTTTAAAAATGAATCTCCTTTTTCTTTTCAAATTAGTGTTATAACTTCTGAAAAGTGAGAAGTAATAATAATAATAATAATAATAATAATAATCCTTGCATTATATATTGCGTTTTTCACGTCAGGAGGACGTCCCAAAACGCTTCACAGAACACACTGTAAAGTGAATTGACTGTATATTTGTGGGCGAACGCGGCAGCCAATTGTGCACAGCAATGTCCCACAAACAGTCGTAGATTGAAAATGACCAATTTATTATTGTTTTGGGTTTTGGAGGGATTATTATTAGGCTCTGTGTGGAGTAAGGAAACTTGCACAAGGTTTCGCCCTCTGCCTGGAATTGAACTCAGGTCTCTCGGTTGCAAAGCGAGTGCTCTAACCACTGAGCTACAGGACTCCACAAGTGTCTTCTGTTTTAACATCTGATCAAAAGAACAGTAACCCCAGCATTTTTACAATAGTGTATGAGCACACCAACTTTGAATGTGAGCTCAAGCCCCAATGTTGTGGTGGAAACCACAATCTTATGACTCAAAGTCAAGAGTGCTGCCAACTGAGCACGAGGCATTGCTGGCCAACCTCTAAAGTTTTGGTTTAATATCTTTAAGTTAAAAAAAATTGCAGATTTAGAGAGTTTGGAAAGTGCTTTTCCGATAAGTAGCAGAGTAAATGGTGCCCGGCATCAGAAAAGGCCATCTCAGGATATGAAATGCATTTCCTATAGGAACACAACATAATGCAAGTCCACAAAATGATAAATCAGAGGTCGGATCTCATGGAAGCTAAGTTCTCACTGTTCAGTGTGCCAACTTCTCTGGAAAAGCCACACTTTCTCCCGAAGCCTTTTTCCAGTTAAGGTTCCGTTTATAATAATAATAATAGCATTTGAGACAACACCTCATCACATCGTTGACAGGATGTGTGACTGTATTTTGTGGTTGAAGTGGCAGCCAATTTGCACACAGCAACTAGAATTGTATCTTGCTTGGGTCACATCTATAACAAACAGTTTGCGCATTTAACATATCCAAAATGTTTAAAATAATTAATTTAGATACCAATGGCTTTTTGCTGGAGATCCTCAGCACAAAAAGGCAAAGGATTAGATTGCAATACCTTGAAAAATCTTTGGATATTCGGAAATAGAGAAATTAGCTTTCTATGGGCAACAGCTATGTAGCACCTTATCACATCATCAAAATGTCTCAAAACTCTTCACAGGATTTTACTGTGACGTGTAGTGATAACAGAAATGTGGGCAAACATGGCAGTGAAATTCTACACAACAATGTCTGAATTGAATGACTGGTTTTAATGCTGGGGTGGGGGGAGGATGAACTTCCTTCTCCCAATGAATAGAAAATTTAGGAGGGGAAAATAAAATAAAAGAACTCTGAAATTAACATTAATGTTTACACAACTAGTGAGGGTGGAATATAAGGTCAAATTCCAGAACCAGAAGACTAAATGGGAATAACAGTTTAGGAATATAGGTCATTTCCTGTACATCAGCAGTTTCAATGGACAAACATCCAGCGATAAACGTTGCTGGAAGGGAAGCACAGGAAGGGTGTGAGAAGATTGCTTTATTTCACAAGGAAAGATATTTTGGTACCAACCCTTTCACGACTTAAAACTTTTTTTTACTATTAAAATGAATAGGATTTTCTTCATTATAAAAGTTCAGATTCCTCTTGCCACTAAATCTGGCAGCTTTGATCAAGTGTTTGAGAAAATCCCATGCATTACCAAGGAAATATCCCATTCTAAGTTTATATTGTCAAAGTCACACTAACTTAAGATTCAAGAGGAACTTCTCAACTAGACAACTGCGCACAAAAAACAATGTTGGTAAGCAGCCAAAGATGAGCCCTTCAGGGAAGAATTAACAGATCTCTACATACCAACAGAATACTGTATTTACAAGTCAGACTTTCTTGGAATAAATACAAATCTAACTTTCTGGACTGAGTATGTTGTAGGTTAACAATGTCCTTTTAATATCCAGGACTTCATACTTTTTTAAAAAAAACTTTGTTTACCTGCATACGTACATACCCTCAGATTCGGCTATGATTCTCTTTCCTCCCCCGGCCTCCTCCCTCCCGCCACCCAGCCCCACACCCTCCACCTCATTAAATAGCCGCTAGACAGACTATACTGGGGCCATCTTCTTCTAAATCTTAAAATTTAACATCATGTGTAATTTTAGAAAGCAGTCATATACAAGAGAAGGGTTATGGTGAGGGAAGGCACATGTGAAGGAGAAATTCTGGCACAGACCAGTTGGGCCAAATGGCATTATAGATTCTATGTTGTCTTAAATCCAGTCTTAATTTGGAAGTACATTATGTAAATTGATTGTAGCTGTATTGTAAAGAGAAAATTTGGCTTAATTTTCCGCTCAATTATCTTAAGCCTTAAGAACACAAATAATTTTGTGCTCCTGGATTCCCAATTCTGAAAGCTTTATACAAAAGAAGAAAGCACTCACTGTTTGTCTCCTTCTGTAGGTGAAATTCTTCCACAGCAGAAGCCCCAGCTGTGTCCAGAAACTCGGCATGTTATCGGAACACTCCACCAAGTGCAGCAGAGAGACCGTCGCTTGTCATCAACTGGAAATACAGGAGAATATTCTGTAATACTCCAATGTTATTGACAGTCTCGCCAGTCTCAGTCCATCTCTAGTGTCTCAGAGGAAACCACAGTCTCCGGATTCCAATTGTTTAGTGGTGATAATGGAATCAGAGCAAGTTAATGTAAATCAACAGCAACATACAGAATGCATGGGTAGAAGGAACAATCTATCATCCCTTTAAATCATTTTTGCTCTCAATACCATGAAAGCAAGCAATGCTCTTTAATGTCTGCTGGAAACATTAGATCATCAATTGGGTTAGTTAATTAGAAAGGTCATCATAGCTGCTAGGTTGAAATGCCAGATTTTCCACCTATATCACATTGTAGATGGATTAATTTTGATGGATGCTTAGTCAATCGCAAAGAGTATTAGGCGCAGATGGCAAAGAACCAGAGTGTGCTTTGGGGTAACTGGTGGAGCTAAAAATGCAGTTTTCTATTGAAAGCACTGACTGGTTGTCCAACTTGGACCGGTCTATCCATGTCGACTCAGGCTTAATAGGAGCTGAGTGGGAAAATAACCCTGCTCCCACCTTGAGATGGGAGAGGGGGAGAAGAGAAATATCTCAAGTCTGGGAATTACATCAAAAGTTCTTTTGGCAATGTAGAACCAGATGTCATGCATTATAATCATCCTTGTGTTTATCTTATCAAGTCAGTCAGTACAGACAAATGGATTTGCATTGCCAACAACCTTCACAATTAATTAGTCATTCAACTCATAGCTATTTGTAGGCTCTTGATGGTGCAAAATGGCTCCAGAGTATGCCCACAAGAAAAAGTTGCTAATAGTTGCTATTAATTATATGTGAAGTGTTTTGAGACGTTTTGATGTGATGAAGCAATATAAAATGAAAGTTTTTTGTTTACTTCATACAAACAAAGTTAGAAATTATTGAGCAACGTGTGTTGGCGTTTATCTGCAAGGATTTAAATATTCTGAACATCAAGTTCTTTCCTTATACAGATACACTACACCGTATTACCGCCACCAACTCCAGATACATCGACCCCAACTTTTTCAACCTAAAATTGAGTCTTCTTTAAATAAAGATGAGGTAGAACCACATCCTATTGAGCTTCAATATCATGTAAATTTGCTTATAATATAACTAGGCACATTGACTCCAATGTTTATTTATTAAAATATCCAAAAAGTTTGAGCAGAAAGTTGGCTTGCTTCAAAACAGCAATCAGGTTTTTTCACATATTCACACGCGCGAAAAAATGGCCGACTTCCAAGTCACCACACTACCACTGGTGTCACATACTGGGTGATGCACATGCACATTACAAGAAGAGCAGTGACCTGTAATTCGGCCACTTTTTAGCTTTCAAAAGGCTGGCTGGCTTATTCGCAGCAAGCCAACTTTTTGTGCACATGCGCAGTGAATGTGGAAGTGTTCAGCAGTTTCACTACACCACTGGTTCATATTTTATAGACACCCCCACCTTACTATGTTATAAACCCCCCTCCCCGCTCCACTTCTGACACGATTAACTCAGGATCCCACAAATCAGCCAGCCTATATATACTCTCAGTTATGACATGATTCTCGGTTAGCCATTCTCCAGTCGCTAAGAGTCAATCCAATTATAACATTGCATTTTGTTTACACCCCTAGACCACCCCCCTTCCTCCAATCGTTGCATTTATATATTTTGCACTTGAACAAGTCTGCTTATCAGAAATCCTTGAACACCAGTTGGACTTTGCTGGAATAGCCTGGATTTAAACGAAGGGCTGCAACAAAAGCATTGCAACACCCAGGTTAGCAGATTTGTGTTCTGACAAGCCACGTCCACAAGCACAGAGTCCACTCAAAATGCAATGAAAGTACTTTCACCCAATTTCATCCATCAGAAGACATGAAATGGCCCATCTGAAATTGAAAAGTAATTCATTTTTTATAGTTAAAAAACACCCAGACACCTAATATAGACACAAAATACCCAGGGTCCAGTAAGTAACCATGAACGATTTTAATTATGGGACATTACAAAAGGAGAAAGAGACATTTTACACAAAACAGAATCTTACGATATAAATTTCATTTTTGTTTGAGAAAAAAATATTTTTTCTTGTAATTGAGTGAAAATCAACTTCAAGGCCCAATTGATGATAGGTTCCAGACACTGCCCTTATGTCCCCATGTGCACTGCAGGACAGTAGCAAATAACTCTTACTGATTTATTGAAATTAGTTTTTACTTTAATCTTCTGCATCAAATACATAAAATCCTGTCACGTAGGTGCATGGTGGCATACACATGTGGAATAGCCTGAATACTCAAGCATGGAGATGGGTTTCTGTGCATTAGGTTCATACTACTCACAGTAGGGTGAGTCACATACATCTCTGCTCACCAAAGTTTTTTATATTGTGGGTGAAGAGCAGTTGTCATGTCCTCCTGATGTGAAAGGCACTATACAAATGTAATTTGTTATTGCTGTTGTCCTTTAATCTTTCAAATTAAGGTTTCTTCACTCAAGTTCCAGCTTTACTACAATTCTTGTATCACTGTGAAGCAAACATGATTTTAAAAAAATCCAAATATATACCAGTAAGCAATCCCAAATATATACCAGTAAGCAATTGTGCCAATATTCAGTTGAGACAACAAAGAATACACCTTGAGATTAGCATGTCTACATATCAAGTAAACTTTTGATGCAATAGGAAATACAGTTGCGTCTTCTTATAACACGCTTCCTTGTAATGCGGGTTCACTCTCAGGATGAGCACCCTTTCGGGGACTGAGGTGTTTTAAAGGTCCGATTTCCTGGTCAACAGGTTGCCACGAGAGTCACCTTCTGCATGCTGCACATGTGAGGAAGTGACATCAGTGGTAACCTGGAAGTCGGGCAGATTTTGGAGTAGAAGCTAGCTGCTTTTTGCACAAATGTCTAATGATGCCAATCATGCGATCGGTGATGTCATGACGCAGATAAGTGCTGATTGTGTCCAGTTTTAAGGAGAGTTGTCATTTTATGGACCCGAACATTATAAATGATTCTGCTGCAGAACTCAAACTAAACAAACAAAACAAATCACACAGTGAGTGCTGACAGACTTTTCAACAATGTCGGTAATCAAAGTCGGTCCCAATCCACATCGTAATGATCACTGAATAATGGAAGCCCTAATTGGATGATTTTCTACTCCTTATCTCAGGCTCAAAGGCGATTTTAATATCCCAATGAGATGAGGTATGTCAGCACAAGCCAAAAATCAAATTTGCACCCTACTATCTGTAGCACATTGCAGAAGGTTGTCAAGTCAAGGTCACATTAGGCTTTTCGAGTTCAGGGGCTTGTCAGGCACTCCAATGCAGTGCTCAGGTGTACGCTGCATTGTCAGAGGTGGCGATCGTCCCTGCGAGACATTATGAGACATTGAACTACAGACTTTCAACCTGTACAGGTGGACGCTAAAACTCCCATGACACTATTTGAAAAAAAGAAAGGAGTTTCTTCGAGTGTCCTGGCCAACAATCCCATCATTCACATCATGGTTGTTTGTGGGACATTGTTAATAATAATCCTTGAAAATGATATAGCGCCTTATCACATAGTCTCAAAGTGCTTCACAGAATATATTGTGAAATGAATTGACTGTATATTGTCATGTGGAAATTGGCTGCCACGTTCACCTACAAATAAACAGTGACCACAGTTTTCAGAAAAAACTGCAAAGCAGGCATTTCAATGTGATAAGGTGCTAAATCAAATATAAATATTTTAATCTTGATTTTATGAGTTAAGTGTTACAATGGCTGTAACACCTGGATAGAGATTTCATCCACTTGGCTACCGGAAAGCCTCCAATGGGCTTTATGGACTGAAACTGAAAAGGTGAAGCACGGACAGGAAATAAAAAGGGCAATCTATAGCTCCATATTGAGCTTCAGTACACAAGTTGAAACTTGCAAAGCTCCAGTTGAACAAGATTCAAGAAATGGGAAGTCCCACAGACTGGGTGGCAACAAAGAACAGATGTAATGTCATCAAAGGATCCAACAAGCCCAAAGGCAGAGATCTTAGATACACATAATTAGCAAAACATATTCTGTTTTCAATATTCTGCTCTCTCTTGTTCCTCCCCAGCTTCAAAAACACCTTCCTACAGTCCCAGTGTGTCGATATCACAAGCTCACCTCTCAATCTCAGACTTAAATTCAAGCTGCTACTGCATCAATTTATATAATAATAATAGTTCCATTTCATATGGTGCCTTATCACATTGTTGAGACATCTCAAAATACTTCACAAAGAATATTGTGAAGTGAATTGACTGTATATTTAGTGGGTGAAACTCGGCACCCAATTACATACATGACTTATGGATTGAATGACCCAACATTTTTTTTAAGGGATTATTACCGGAAAACAATCCGCTAATCAACTAACAACCAGGTTCCTACTTACTGCTAGGTAAACAGAGGTGTGTGGAGGAAGGAAACCCTGCCCAGGAATCAAACCCGGGTTCTCTCCATGCGAGGCTAGTGCTCTAACCAATATACTGCAGGACCCACGATGCTACAAAATTCCAAGTTATCAACCTATCAAAAGGTGTCTTGCTGCTTCATTGAAATTTATCAAGTTTTAAGGCCTGTAAATACTTGAATTTTTTCTTCCATCTGTTCCTCCATAATTTTTAGAAAGCCAGATTTATCACATTTATCAAACAAAACCAAAATAAAACTCTGTTACAATCTAAGAAATTGAAGTTACTGATATTTCTGTCAGCATATTAAGAATTACCCAACAATATTTCTTTCAATGGTCGGTTGCATTCAGTTAATACACGGACACAACCAAACACTGTTCCCAAGTCATTCCTCCGCGGCCCCACCCCACCTTAAAGGTTTCCAAAGAGTACAACAGGAACTCCCACAAGTTAATAACTTTGACATTCTCTCTGCTCTTAGTTGTGTGTGGGCATGTTAAGAAAACCCATCCCACAAGTGCCTGC